AGTTGGCGACTATTACAGAGCACAGTTTGCTGAACTTACCTCCCTTCGAGGACTGGGAGTGCAGTAGTTCTTCCTCACCAGAAATTCATTTAGTACTGAAAAATATACATTCCCTTCTCTGTGTCTAGGCTTCTTAGGAGACAGCTTTTCCCTTTTCCAGGCACCTCACCTGGAACCACATCCTCCTGCGCTGCGGCCTCCCTCCCTCCTCGGCCGGGCCGCGCGCCCACGGGGTGCGGTTGTGCCCCAGCGCTGTCCGTGGTGGGCGTGTTTCTCAGATGGGGGGGGGCGTCGAGAGCGCGCCGTCACCTACAGCTGTAGATCACACTGCAAGAACGCTCTAAAAACTGTGAGTTAACCCTGTCAGACCACTTCCAAATTTAGAGTCCTTTAAAAATTCATGGTAACTCAGATTTCTTCTTACTTACCAAAAGTTGAGCACCCTAGGAAAGAATTAATCTGCTTTTACTTCATTGTTCCAGTGTGAAGGAATGTACTTAGAGGTTGATTAAGTATTTTTTCCCCTCTGAACATGGGAAAGTATGTCCAAATCCTTAAGTAATTACATTCTTAACATAGACATTTCTCATTTTCCCACCCCAGCCGCAAAGGCAGCGTGGCTTTCAGACCTGCGTTTCCATTTGCGAGATGGCAACTTTAACTGGACTTTAAGTGCTGTGGTCCCTTAACTCTCAACCAGCTAAGTTTAAGGCATGACATTTCAAAGTGCTTTATTTCATATAAAATTCTTTGAATTCTTTGACAGCTTGAGAGAATATTTGTGGCACTGTAATAAGCCTATACTTAGGGAAAAAAACATTTTAATCTAATCTGTAAATCATATTTGCTGATGAGCAGAAGTTAAAATGAGTACATTTACGGTTTTTCAGTGACATAAACTAAGTAAAGAGTTAAAAATAAAATATCTGACCCATTGCTATGAGCACGTGTTGCCTTAAATAGAACATCGTGCAACTTTAGGAGCCCCGGACAGTTTGCACGATCACCTGGGGGGTATTCTCGTGTGGACTTCATCCAGGTCCATCACGCCCGGCGGACGGATTCCCTAGAGACGGGCACCGGTTCATTTGTTTGCAGCACCTGTGACATGGCGAAGGTTCAGACGGTGGTCATCGGCTGGGTGTTTTTTGCCAGCATCATTGTTGGATCCAGACACGGGGCTCAGTTAGCTGTTGATGAGTCTGCATATCCACGTGAAATATGTCCATTTTAACCGCAAAGTCTCAAAGTTGAAGCCTGCTCCCTCTCGGCCCCTCAATGCCTGATCTGTGCATCTTAGTCACCTCTCAGTTCCACCTTAAATTAGCAAATGGTGTCGTTTATGTTTGGGATTTTTTTAAACTTAACATGATACATGTATTTTCTTTTTACTAGACATTCTTGGGGTTCTCTTATGTTTTGCCATCACAATAGAGAAGACAGATCATTCTACTTTTATTACTATTTTCTTGTTCATATTAGTAATATTTTTATATACTAAATACAGAATCCTAGAAAAATTAAGCAAGAAGAGCCAGAAAATTCAGCAAATAGCAATGGGTGGGGTCTACCAGTATTAAAATATAATGTAAAGCTTTAATAGTTAAAACTGTGTGGCACAGGCACACAAGTAGACGGACAGATCAGTGTAACCAAATAAATAGAAAGTCCAGAAGGAGATATAAATATCTGTGGGAATGTAGTAAGTTATCAAAAAGGTATTTTAAATCAGTGGGGGAAATGACGATTGTTCAGAAAATGATGTTGAGGCCATTTGGTAAACATCTGAGAAGAATTAGGTTGGATCCTTTTCTTCTACCTTACACCAAAATAAATTCCAGATGGAGCGTGAATGTAAAATTATGAAACCATGAAAGTACTAGGGAAAAAACTTGAAAATGTTTTTGTAATATTTGAGTGATAGTGGCCTTTTTAATTATATTGGAAAAGGCAGACACCGTATTTCAAAAATGGTATGCTTTACCGCCTAACTAGATTTCAGCATGACAAAGAGCAGGGCACACAGAGTCAGAGGACACGGAGACTGGGAAGACCCAGCACATTTCACAGACTGAGGGCCAGCCTCCTTCGCGTGTGAAGAGTTCTTAGTAAGCAAAGACCAGGAACCTAACAACACAATGGGCCAGCTTCATAGAAAAGGAAGAACAAAGTTCTTTCAACACGTGGAAAGATGGGGCAATACAGATCACAGCCAGCGCGAACTGTCGTTCCCCCCGTCGGCGGTGACTAAAAACTTCAGCAGCGTCCTGTGTGGGTGAGCCTGGGGGGATGAGCACTCTGGCGTGCCGCGCCGCACCGCTGCTGGGGCTGCGGAGCAGCACGGCTTCTGTGGGAAACGCTTTCGTGCTATAAAACCTAAAACCCGTGCGCCCAGCAATTCCAATGCAAGGGATTGATCCTAGACACACGCACAAATGGTAGATGTATGCAAGAATATCTATTTTTTCCCAGATGGTTGTACCATTTTAAACCAGCAGTTTCCACGTTCTGGATAGCCCAAATCCTTGCCAAAACTGGCTCTTCAGTCTTTTTTAATCTTGGCCATTCTAGAGAGTTTTCAGTGGTATCTTAAGGTTTTGTTTGCATTTCTGGTAACTGATATTGGACATGTTTTCATGTGCATATTAGACAAAGTGTCTTTTGCCTTTTTAAAAAAAATTGCATTCTTATTATTGGGTTAAATTATATGTTTTTGATATACATCTGTTGTCAGATATATCTTTCGTTAATAGTCTCCCAATCTTTGGCTTTATTTTTTGTTAATAATGTTTTGAAGGCAGTGTGTAATTTTGATGAACTCTAATTCATCAGGTTTTTTCTGTGGTTCTTTTTTGTGTAGTAAGAAATTTTTGTATATTTCAAGAAAATGAACTCCCCTCCCCCCAGAAGTTTTATATCTTTAGCTTTTATATTTAGCTTTATTAACCCCTATTAGGTTTTCAGAATGGTTTATAACCAAAATTGGGGGAAAAGATTTACAACCACTGATTTGACTGCTGTGTAGTTTTGCAGATTTGTTACTAATATGAACAGATTTACACAATTCTGTCCCTTCCCCCAGTAAAACAGTTTCTGAATTGATGGAGAGAATGACATGGCTTTAGTGGAGATGGTGTCCGTGGAATATCTGGCTGTATCTCACTCCCTAAGTAAACCGTGCATGGGCATACTCCCCTGGTGCGAACTGTGTGATAGGCGAGCGCGTGGACCACCTGGACCTGCCCTGGGCAGGGCGGTAGGGCATCGGCAGTTCGCAAATACTCGGGGAATCCATCGGAGACCCGAGCTCCGGTCGGCATCCTCGCACACTTGCGCTCTCAGCCAGCAGGCACTCCCGTTCCATCTAGAATGAAGCCTCAAACGTGGTGTTGGAGGCTTCCCAGACTCGGATCCCGAGCTCCCTTTTCGTTTCTGCACAGCCCTGCCGCGTCCTGCTTCGCAGTGTCGTGCTAGGCCCCGCTCCGCGGCTGTGTTCGCGCCGTAGCCTCCGTCTGGAGCGCCCTCCTTCCTTCCGTCCTGCCCTGGGCTTCGTCCAGCCTGGCCGCTGAGTTCCCAGCGAAACGCCACACTCCCCTCGAGCTCTCTCTCCCCCAGCCTCTCAAGCAGGAATCCGTTGGAGCACGTTTTACGTAGTCTCTCCATTGGATTACAGACCTCTGAGTGCTTTGGGTTCTGAGAGCACACTGTATGTCTGAGTGGTGCTTCGTGTGGCTGCCGGCGCGCGGCGAGCCGGCATCGAGCCCTGTCCGACGTAAAGCCATCGTGTGTCACAGTGCGAGCCCTCAGGCAGCGGTGTTCTTTGCAGTGGTTTTTTAAAAAACGAAATAGTAGAATAGGGAGTAAAGGATTACATGACATGGGTAAGCATTCTATACAGGAAAAGAGCATTCTATAGCAAAAGGGTTGTTTCTGGTTTTATACTTGTATATGTGTTTACCTAGGTTATAATAATAAAATATTTGAAAAACACTGTCTAGACTTTAACCTCTATAATGAATTATTCCTGAAATTTTTCACTAAATGTTGTCTACCAAATTACCCTTAGGTGAATAATTTTCTTTAGCATCTGTTGTATGGTCTTTGTTTTAGATTTGGGGTACATAATTGGCTTATAAATATAAATCATTTTTTCCAAAATAGAAAAAGTATTTGAAGACGCTTCAGAGCTTTATTGTCACAGATGTTTCTCTGAAATTTCTGTAATTTTTTTAGACTTCTCTGTATTTACATTTATTAGTTTAGATTGCTTGTGGAAGTAGTTGACAAGACAGTACTTTAAAAAAAAAGTTTATTGATTTTAGAGAGAGAGAGGAAGGGAGGGAGAGAAAGAAACATTGATTGCTGTTCTACCTATCTGGGCATTCATTGGTTGATTCTAGTATGTGCCCTGACTAGGGATCGAACCCACAATGTTGGCATATCGGGATGATGCTATAACTGGCTGAGCTACCTAGCCAGGGCATAAGACAGCACTTTTTGATATATTGGAATGAAATGAATATTATCAACTGAGTCTACAAATTCAACAATTTGTGACTTAGGATAATGAAATTTTATTTAGGACAGTAAGTTTACTTCATGTATAAATTATAATGCTCTTATATATGAAAAGAAATTTTGCTGTTATTAACCAGCATTTAAAAAACAACTTGACTTTGAAACTAGGAATTCTGAGCCATCATCTCAGCAAGAATCATATGTTATTGTTCTCCCAAAAGATAGTAGAAACTCAGATCTTCCGAATCCTCACAAGCATTCCCAAATGGTCATGTGTTACTTTTAAAGAGCCTTTGAATAAACTGTGCATTCTTGAGATAGGAATGCAATTGCTGATCGTGTCACTTGGTGTTTGCAGTCAAGCCGCTTCTGGTGGACTGACTTAGATTTGTGATTGCAGCCTTTCCTGGAACTCTGCAGCCTTGTAACTGGAAGTGACTGTGGTAGTAATGCCTGTGCCCGTTCTCCCCACGTCTCTTTAGGGTCATTACAGACCGTCTGATCTGCTGTGTCCTGAGACATACGTGTGGGTGCCCATCGAGCAGTGCCTGCCCGCACTTGAGAGCTCCAAGTACTGCCGCTTCAACCAGGACCCCAGGGCAGGTACGTTCGGAACAGAGCTCGACTGGACGTCGCTGACTTCGTTTTCAGAATTCACGTGCCCCTGTCTGTGGCTGCGGCTCTTTGTTACAGCGTCTCGGTAGCTTTCTGTGCTCACCTCTGTGTGTGTGTGTGTGTGTGTGTGTGTGTGTGTGTGTGTGTGTAAGACAGAGGGGCCAGGCGCACACAAACAGCATCACAGCTGTGCAGGTAAATGCAGAAACCCCACGCGCCTGTGCTGCTCAGCATGCCAAGCTTCACGCATTAGTTTTTACATCATGTTTTGAGGGCTGACTTCGTTATCTACTGCTTGTACAACTATCCAGTGCATAACAATTATTCCGTAGATCATTTAGCCAATAAGATACACATACTGAACAGCTGGACTGGATAAAGTGGTGGAACGCTTTTGCAGGGGCGGAGCTGGGCAGCAGGCTGTGGTGGCTTTGGGTTTTGTGGTAATACTTTGGCTCTTCTCGGATCTCTGGTGCTTTCCTTTTCTGTCCCTTCTTCCACCTCCTGCCCAGAACAGTCCCAGCCGCCTCCCCTCTCCTCACCCGCCTTGGGGTGCTCGGCACTGGTGGAGTGTCCAGACACTGCCAGCACAGCCTGGGGTCGGACCCCTGCAGGCAGATCCTGGCTCCAGACGGCGGGCCGCACCTCAGACTCGCGGCCCTCAAACGTGAGATCATAGTAGGACCTGCCCTACTGAGCTGTAGCAAGGATTACATTAAGATGAGCACACTGACAACAGCCCCCCATTATTGTTGAGTTGGCGGTGGTTAGGCACCTTAGGGAGCTGCTTCCCACGCGTGCCGCTTCCCACGCGTGCCACAGGCTCTCCTTGGCGTTTGTCTTTGTGGGTGCCGACTCTGCTTCCTGAACAAGTGCGCAGGTCTGGTCCCCTCCCTGTGCCTGATTTCTCTCCCGGGGTGCAGCAGTCCTCCTCGTCACCCCCCCCACCCCCACCCCTGGGCACCTCGGCTTGGTTAACCCGGCCCCGCCCTGCTGCCCTCCGGGCTCCTGTGCTGGTCCCCTCACGGTGACTGGTGTGTCCTCCCCAGAGGGATGTTCGCCCCAAGTGTTCCAGTGCGCCTCCTTTCCCTTCGAGTCCTCCCCACCCGCCAGGTGCCCGATGCACACTGGTCAGGAGAGCAGACCTTGTTCTGCCAGCCACCGGCGGCCCAGGTTTGGGGGGAGAGAAGGAGAGAGCTGGGAAGGCCAGGAGAGGGGAGGGCAGAAATGGAAAATTCAAAGAGGAAGACAAAGGGGGCGAAAAAAATAATAATTTCTTCTCTTCTAAGAGGTGCATTTTTTTTCCCACAAATTAGGGTTTTTTTCTTATAAAAAATTGGTTCATGGACCATTGCATTTTGTTATTTTCAGCTGTTATGAAATTAAGTGTGTGCACTTCTTACCCAAGACGATACCTTAGAATCTGACGGATGGTGGCCATAGGGACCCACCCATCTCATAGACCAGGTACCTGGGAGCTAGCCCAGGTTTCCCAGATGTTGAGGTTTTATAGAACAACCAGGGCTTTATAGTTCCTGCACCTTAAATCATTAATTAGAACCTTACCCCTTTGTTCTAAGTAATGTTAGGCTCTGATCAAACAAATGGGTACGTTTGGATTCAAAGCCAAAGGCGAAGGTGCTTTAAAGGAAAGCATATACCCACCTGTTCTCTCCTCCCAAAAAGAAATTTATTTTTTTTCGGCTTTTCTCAAGGTCAAGTCAGAGCCAGTCCCTTATGGAGAAAATTGTTGAACATCTTTTGTATTATTTCACATTCACATATAAAAAATTGTCTTTGTCTTCCCAACTAAATAAATAATAGGATCTTAAATTGCATTCTGACTCCCAAACTTATGACACAATTTCACATTTTGTTTCTCCTCCTTGATCTGTTTTAACAGTTGCTTCTCTTCTCAGTGTCGTACCTGGAGACTCAAGCAATCCCAGGCTCCCTGGTTTATAAAGTTGGAAAGGTGTCTGAGTGATTTCCATGCACTGAATGGACATTCAAGTAGAGATTAATTCATGCCAACAGGTCTTTAATTCATTTTCCAAAGTACGCACCAATGAGCACTTCCGGGCAAGGAAAGTGAGGTTTCACGTTGACTGGTTTTTGTCAGCTGTATACCGTCCCCAGTGAGCTCCCTCTTTCCCGTGACCCGCCGCGTTGCCTTTCTATGGCATTAGCTTTAGCTCTTACTGCTCATTGCTTAGAATTCATTTACAAAAATCAGAGGAGTAAATTTCGTTGAAAATAGTGCTGTAAAGTATTAAACAGATTCCATGGTAAATTTTAAAGCTCTTACTGACTTGACTCCGCGGCTAATGAATCAGGCAGCGTTCCATCGAGCAGGCGGGGAGGAGCCCCGAGTGCTGCTCCGAAGCGGGGGGCTCTCTCAGGCGGAGGTGGGGGGGGGCGAGACAGGGAGGCACGCCGGCACGGAACCGGCAGCTTGTGGCAAGGCCACCGCCCTTAGGGGACGTCGGGCCGTTTACCTCGGTAGTGCTGACCAGGTCATTCCAGACTCACTGGTTTAAGATTTTGTTCTGGGGAAGCTGAGACCAATTAAGTTAGGTCTTCGGTCTCCGTTTGCTGACACAGGGCTTGGCACATGTGACTCCATTTGTGGCCTGTGGTCTCGTTTTTAACAGAAGAAAACGAAGATCCGTTTCTGTGTGCTGCATCTTTGGAACTTCCAAGAGCAGCGCACCATGCAGTTTCATCAGCATCGAATACCACAGTGCAGACACTGTTTGAAATCAGACTTGCATCCTGTGGCTTTAGGAAATTAAAATGCAGTTCCGTGCTGGAGTGTACTGGGCATGCTGTGAAACGCGGTCATTTGAGATTTAAATGGCAGTGAGTGAGAGATGGCCCTCTTCTCTGGGGCCGGTTTTACTTTTCCTTGACCAGACTCTGACTCCAAGAAAACACGGAGCTCACTGCGGGCCATGTTGTCAGTCGGCGTGGTGCTTTTCCACCAGGTCTCCACAGTTGAGTTACTGTGCGAAAGGCACAGCTGACCGCCGTGGGTCTCTGCCACACCGGGTCCAGCTGTGAGGTGCCCCAGCGGCCGCTTGCAAGACGAGGTGCAGTCCCTCCCCTGCCCCCCGGTTGCTGTGAGCCTCCGGGAATCCTGTTCTTCCCTTCCCTCCACACATGCATGCTTTGCAGGTTCGGATTCTGTGGTTATTTTTATTTCTGAACTAGGAAGTCTGAGTAACAACCCAAACCTATTGTGCTACTGCTTTTAAGGCACTACAAGGAAGGAGCTGGCAAACTGAAGTAGCTTGGAAAAGTCTAAAGAAATCATTTGACTCATAAATAGGCCTTTTGTTTTTCCATTCAAGACCTCTGCTTACTCTAAAGGACGGATTTCAAAAGTTTCTCAGTAATTTTTAATAAAAGTCTTTTAGACTGCTTTTAAATTCATGGTTGGATATGGGTATATTTTAAAATTTCTGCATCACAGTTACATCTTTTTAAAAAAAATTATTTAAAAAATATTTATTGGGAACACTAGGAGAAAATTTGTTCAAATGCATAAAACCACTACTGAGAAGATTTAAATGACCCATAGTTTCTTTGTGTAAAACTAATCACTGTTAATATTTTTATGCTCGCTCTCATATTTTTTTCTTGTACATATATCTGTAATTTTTTTTAAATCCTCACTTAGTATTTTTATTGATTTGAGAGAGAGGGAGGGGGTAAAGAGAGAGGGAGAAACATGGATGTGAGAGAGAAGCATCGATCAGTTTCATCCCGTAGGCGCCCTGACCAGGGAGGGATTGAACCTGCAACCTAAGTATGTGCCCTGACTGGGAGTCGAGCTGCAACCTTTTGATGCACTGGATGACACTACAACCAACTGGACCACCTGGCCAGGGCCTTCTGCACTTCCTTCCTTATTATTTATTGCAACAATGACAGCCAATATCTGTTTTTAATCAGAGATTTAAGATAATTTTAACTCGTTGCTCTATAGTACTTATTGTTAGTATTTATTACAAAGGAGCTAATTAGAATAATCTTTAATATGTATGTACATTTGACCACAGATTAGTGTAGATTTCACTCTTTTTTATATATACTTGGAAATGTTTGAAGAAATTTCCTAATTTGTCTCTAATGTAACTAAGTTGAAAATTGTTGGTAAGGATATTGAATTTAAATTTATCACAGAAATAACAGCACCTAGTTCTGGCCTAGTGCTCTGTGCATTTGCCCAAGTTGGAGAGTTTCTGGTACACAGTAGGTGCTGAAAATCTAAACTAACATGAACAGCTTTTTCCTAGTTCAATCCTGTGAACGAACTCCTGGGGCTCCATTTGTGTTGCCTTGTTTCGTGTGTCTCTCTCCTCCTCTCTCTAGCCCATTCTTTTCTTTTTCCCTCCTGTCATGGCTCCCTGGCATGTTTTCCACCCTCCTGCAGTTCCGGTCGCGTGCGCCATGGGAGCAGCGAGTCCCACTCTGCCCGCACCCTTGTGTGGAGTAACTCGGTTCGTAAGAGCTCCGTCCTGTGTTTGCTCGTCTGGTTTTTCCGAGCCTGGAATTACTTCCCGTATGTCGTGTTTACGCTCCCTCAAAAAGGGCGCACCTCCGCCAAAACGTCACATCAATCCCTGGGAAACGGGGAAGGAAATGTACCAGAACTTCCTGGGGCCCCTGAAAATGCGCTGCGGTTTGGGTAAAACTTTTGGGTAAAATCTAGTTGGAGGTTGACCTACCCACTTGATTCTGCAAAAGAAATGATTTTGATCGTTGAATACTTAATAAACATATATTTTTGCTTCCAGTAGCCAGCTGGAGATAGACCCATTTGTAGCCTACTGCGTGTCATAGAGGAAGCAGGCATCAGAACAAGAAAATTGTTGGAAATTTGGCTCGTGTAGTCGGCGAATATGACAAATGTTTTGATACGGAAAATGTAGAAAGTTACAGTCTCCTGTAACTTTCGGTTCAGTTGGCTTCCTATCTACTTA